CCGCAACGCCGTCTTTCGTCCGAGAGGGACTTAGTTAAGTTAGGCAAATCATACGGTCTTTGATTAAGTATCTTGGATCAATGTGAGTGAATCATCACAAACCCATCTATCTATCAAGTACCCTCAATTCTGTTGATTCAGGTCTTGATAAGAGATTCTGGTATCAATCCACCATAGGGGTTAAAGCCTAAGGAAGGCTTCAGATCTACAGCGAAACCGATGTAATGAGTTCATCCCCATACATAGCAATACCCCCAAAACACACAAAGATATGTGGAAGATATCATTCTAGAGACAATCTAGATAGAATGTAATGACAAAATATAAACAATGCTGAGCAGAGGAAACCTCATTTCTCGTTTTGGGGGTTTTGGTGAAAAAAAAACACCTCAAACTCAAAGACGCTCACGAGTCACCTCCCAAAAAGTAGAAATGTGAAAGAAGACAAAGACTTAAATTCTTTTCCTTTTGCATTCTGATATTCAGAAAGAAGAACAAAAAAAGATAAGAGTAAGACAAAGATAAAAATGACAATTTAGATGATACGATTATGGATCCGAAAACCTTTTTACTTTTGTTTTGTGCTTTCTTGTTATGAAGTTGGTCGTCCAAAAAAACAAAACAAAAACAATAAAATTTAAAATAATTCATCAGTTAAATCCTCATATCAATCGCAAGATGGACATATGCAATAAATTACATGCTCCGACTTACACAACAGTCCCAGTAAACTCATCTCTATACCTCTCCTTGGTTCATTTTCGGGGGTCGAATTGAAATTCAAGTGAATTGTTGCTTGAAATGGAATCCTGCCATTTTTGACTCAAATCATCCAGCATTTTACAAGCTTCAATCTGTTAAATCTTGATTGATCATGTGTTGGTCGAGATAAAGAGGAATAATTTTTTAATCTCAATTTGCTTAGTTGATTGTTTTTTATGTCTATTGATTTGAACAAGCGCATTTAATTCAATCTTGAATCGTTTTCTATTTTTTTGATTTCCTTCTCAAGCAAAAACATGAATAATATCCTGAATCGAATTCGAGCATTTTATAAGCTTTTCATTCAAGAACCCGACTTTTTGTTGTCCCAATTGTGATTTAGCAGTTTTTGATGAGGTTCCATGTTTCTGGCTTGATTGGATCATTAATATGGTATGTTGGATTATGTTGACTTGGAATTCGGTTTGGTTTTGTTCATTTGATGTGGGTTGACGAGGGTTGTTGAACTTGCAAAGATTAAAAATTCAGGCAGGTGGAAAAGTTGAGGATTGTGCGTGTGGCGAAGCCGCGACGCTATGGGTTGCTGAAGGTGTGATGCTAAGGGCTACGAGTAATGCACCGACCCGGTCCGGAAAAACCGGGCCGGGACCGGTCCCAGGACCGGGTCAAGCGGGCTTCGGCGGGGATCTTGGTAATAACGGGTTGACCCGGACCGACCCGCTATTTTGGCATGGGGGCAGGTTTAGGTGAAACTCATCTTTATTTCTTCAAAAACCATGTATACAAGACTGTGTTTTGTGACTTAGTTGTAGGCTAGATACTATTGACTAAACAATTTTAGAAATAGAAAGGTAGAGAAAAGAAAAACATGGAAAAAAACAAAACAATCGTAGTTAACACCTTATTCCAAGTCTTGAGGCATACAAGCGCTTCAAATGTATCTGATTTGAGACCATGGCGACGCTTAGTGAGAACACGTCCTCCAGCTGAAAAGGCGCGTTCGGAAGGAGTGCTGCATGCTGGAACCGAGAGGAAGATTCGAGCCATCTTGGATAGCAAGGGATACTTCTTTGCATTTTCATTCCAATAATCCAAGGGATCACGATTCCCTGGCTCTCGAGGTTCAGCAAGGTAAGCAACAAGTTCTACATCTAAAGTTCGCTTCTTCTTAGGTGCTGAAATGAATGATCGAGGTCCATCTTCTTCAGTGTGAGTGATTGATTCGATATCTTCATCAATTTGCTCGGAGTTTGGAATGAATTGGCGAGCCTCTGTCAAAAAGGTGTCTCGCCAATCATCTTGATTGATGATTCCTGCTCGCAGGAGAGTGACCGAAGAAAGTTCATGATCCTTGCTGCGAGGGTCCAATAGGTGAGCACAAAGATAGACTGGTTTCTTTATGGCGTCGTCAAAGTACTCGGCCAGCTTGTTCTTCATAGGAGCAATCGCAGGTCGGATTGGATGGTTTTCTAACATGATTAAAGCC